AACACAACAAAAAAATCTGCCATGTAATCCAACAAGAGAAAAAAAAAAAGTAAAGATTCATTATGAACATAAGCAACTCTATCCAAAAAGGAAGCTGTTATGGTTTGACCATGTCCCCCAAAGTTCATGTGTTGGAAACATAAGCCCCCAGGGCAACACTGGTGAAAGGTGGGATCTTTAAGAGGCAATTAGGTCACGAAAGCTCTGCCCTAATGAATAGATTAAGGTTATCTCAAGAGTGGGATCATTATTGTGAGAGTAGGTTTGTCATAAAAGCTAGTTCAGGCCGGGCGCGGTGTCTCATGCCTGTAATCCCAGCACTTTGGGAGGCCGAGGAGGGTGGATCACGAGGTCAGGAGTTCAAGACCAGCCTGGCCAAGATGGTGAAACCCCGTCTCTACTAAAAATACAAAAAAATTAGCCAGGCATGGCGGCACGCGCCTGTAATCCCAGCTACTCCGGAGGCTGAGACAGAGAATTGCTTAAACCTGGAGGGGCGGAGGTTGCAGTGAGCTGAGATCGCGCCACTGCACGCCAGCCTGGGCGACAGAGTGAGACTCCGTCTCAAAAAAAAAAAAAAAAAAACTAGTTCAGCCCCCACACTGCTCTCTCTTGGGCTTTCTTGCTTTTCCTCTTTCCACCGTGAAATGATAAAGCAGGAAGACCCTCACCAGATGCTGGTCCCTTGGACCTCTCAGCCTCCAGAACTGTAAGAAAGAAATATGTTCTTTATAAATGATCCAGTCTGTGGTATTCTGTTATATCAGCACCAAACAGACTAAGACAAAAGCTGGCTAGACAATAAACATTTCATATCCCTCTAAATTCTCTTTTGGTGTTTTTAATATGCATTGGTACATTTTCCAAAATTTTAATCAGCATAAATACACAGGTCTGTATCTTAGTTTTTTCTACTTTACATTTTTCATGTAATACATTTGCACTTATTAATATTGTTCCCATGTGTCATTTAAACAGCCTTATAGAATCAAAGCATATTGAAATTCTTTTCTTATTTTTACTTATTTCTTTTTTTTTTTTTTCCCTGAGACAAGGTCTTGCTCTGTTGCCCAGGCTAGAGTGCAATAGTGACATGATCATAGCTCACTGTAACCCTAAACTGGGCTCAAGTGATCCTCTTGCCTCCGCCATCCCAGAAGCTAGGACTACAGGTGCCAGTCACCAGGCCCAGCTAATTTTAAAATTTTTTCTTGTAGACACAGAGTCTTGCCATGTTGCCCCGGCTGGTCTTGAACTCCTGGCCTCAAGCGATTCTCCTGTCTCAGCCTCCCAAAGTTCTGGGAGTACAGTCTTGAGCTACTGCACCTGGTTTTCTTTCCATTTTTGAGGATTATAATTGCTTGAGATTTTCCAAATATATTATACAAGGTCTAGCTAAGAACTTAGTAGATTTCTTTATTGTGGTCTTTTTTCTCTCTTTTGCCTTGTAGAAATATCCCACAAAGTGAAGTAACCAAGTCAACAAGTGTGAACAATTTTATAGCTCTTGTTAAATTTACTAGACAGCTCTCAGGAACGACAGAGCCAGTTTACAGCAGGAGCCATTAGTGGGTGTGGACCTCTTTTCTAACATCTGCTTCTAAACTTGGCTTTATCATAGAAAGAGATAAAATCATTACAAACAATTTGAAGGAATTCCTTGTCTTATAAAAAACATTCTGAAAACCTTTCTGTATTCCCACTAGCAGGTATAGTTAACCTTGTAACTCCACAAACAGACCACTTTACACACCTGCCTGGGGGCCTTTGTTTTTGCTTGCCCCTCTCTGAAATGCTCTCTCCAGGTGATCAAGTGGCTTGCTCCTTTACTTAGCTATCTACTCAGGTAAAATCTTAGCCAAGATGCCTTTACTCTTCACCCTACTTAAAATGTCCCTCTGCCCCACCCTGAGACTTTTAACTTGCATAGCCCTCATCATCACCTGACATAATATGTACTTCTTTGTTTTTATAGATATTATCTGTGCCCCTCCACTAGGATGTCCATTTCATGGGAATAAAGACTTTGTCTCTTTCATTTGCTTCTATATTCCCAGTGCCACGAAGATGCCTCGTACATAGTAAATGCTCACTAACTATGGTGGAACTAATGAGTGAGTGACTGAAGCAAGGGTCTGATTACATCATCATTAATTGCTTGGCATTCTGGAGTTAGTGCTGAAAAGCTGTGTAAGGCTAATTGGTGGAGCTAAAAAGTTTGCTGGCCGGTGTCATGGTTCATGCCTGTAATCCTAGCACTTTGGGAAGCCGAGGCGGGAGGATCACGAGGTCAGGAGTTCGAGACCAGCCTGGCCAATATAGTGAAACCCCATCTCTACTAAAAATACAAAAATTAACTGGGTATTAGCCAAGTATGGTGGCACGCACCTGTAGCCCCAGCTACTCGGGAGGCTGAGGCAGGAGAATCACTTGAACCTGGGAGGCAGAGGTTGTGGTGGGCAGAGATCACGCCATTGCACTCCAGCCTGGGCAACAGAGTGAGACTCCATCACCAAAAAAAAGCCACGTTACGCATTGCCAATTGGCTTATTCATGCTATGCAACAAAATGAAACTAGTCTGAAGTTGCCAAGGTCTCTTGCACCTACATAGTCATCCAAGAAGGAAACTCCGTCCTTGCCTTGACATCTACCAGACCTGCTTCAGAGAGAACTTGACAAATTGGCCTAACTTCACTTCCGCTTCACATTAAGTTATATTTACTTTACTGAATCTGTGTCCTAAGTCAGCCAGAAGAAAAGAAAATGTCCTTTGGGAATATACACTTCTTAGCATCCATGCAGTTATGTATCTCATACCCTGATCCAGGAACATATTTAGCTAGATCATCTGTCTTTTTGTTAATATCTAGATACACTCACATCCTAGAAGAGTTTTCAGAACTTCCATTTTGAAATATATGCTAAACGACAACCACTGTCTTGTAATGAAATCTTGCAAATGGTCCTGCCTCTCCTGCCTTGGTGTTTGGGTTGTTTGGCTTTGTTTTTTGTTCTTTCTGTTTTTAATGCTGTAAGATCTCCACAGAATGTTCCAGTTACCTCTATTGTATACTGTGAGTATATGCAGCTGCAAGGTGAACCCCAGCAAAATCTGCTCCAGGCTCCTGAGCTTTATCTTAAGTATAGCTGGTCCTATGGAATCGATTCTTTTAGTAGGTTTTTGGGGTTCATTTAGTTAAGTAAAATGTTTTGACTAAGTGTGTTTTCACACATCCCGAGCATGTTTCATGCATCCCTTGTGAAAGGGCATGCTCCATGTGATGGCTCAGAGCATAAATCTATCAAACTTGGAATTGTGTATACATTTATATGCTGGATAACTAATATCTATGTACAGCTGCAAGATATTTAGTATATCAGATTAATAAAGAGCATTTTTTTTTGCTCCATTATATCTCAAATAAAGATTACGTGATCATTTCTTCCAAGCATGAATTGACTCCTTCAAAAATAAGCACTTTGTTAATGCCTTAGATATAGAGAGGTAAACTCTGTTTCTCTAATTCAGGCTTATTTGAATTGTTTCTGTGGGCTAAAATAAGATATTGATGTGTTGTTGATCTTATATGAATATTTAAATTGCACAGACCAGTGAGAAGAAAAATGTTTGTGGGGAGTTTGTGGCAAGTAGATGGCTGTGCTCTTTTGCCCTAGAGTAGGAAGAGTAAATAGATTTTTATTTGGGTATATTAAATCACTTGATTGGTAGCTGCTTGGAACAGGTTTGGCAAGAGTGAGAAAGTGCTATGCTTTATGGAATCTTACTGGAGGCAGAAACACAGACTTAAATGCCATATATTTCATAGTCCTCAAAAAGAGTCCCCATGATCACATTTAACAGTGAAGACATGCTATGTCTTTACTTAACAAGTGATGGGGCCATCCTAAGGCTGGTTCTGATGGCTTGATAACATCATTGGAGACTCAGATTCTCTCTACTTTTGACTGTGCCGTGCATCCCTAGAGAATACTGCTTTTGTCCTCATGGGCATGGGAGATGCAGTGGCTGCAACTTCCACATTACATCTCACACACCCAAGGCCAGAAGAAGTCCCTCTTTGACTTTTAAGATCAAGGAGAATACTTCAGAATCCTCCAGCAGACTCCCTCTGTACCCCATTGGCTGGATTTGCATCATCTGCCTACTCCTAAACCAATCACGAGCAAGAGGAACTTAATTACTACATAACTGGCTTCGAGACTAATCAAGATTCACCTCCCCCCATAGCCTGAAGGGGCCCAGTCTTCCCAGCTATTGGGCTCCTGACGCCTGAATAAACGGGGGTTTGTAAGCAAGGAAAAGGCAGGGGAACTGCTGGGTAGGCAAAGCAACAGTGGGCTGTGTCTGAGCTCTAGAACCATGCTGTCTGGGAATAAGGATACAGCCTGGCATGTGTTATTTATTTGAACTTAATCTAAAATCCAAGAATTCAGTTCCTTAGTTAAGTACTTAGCCACACTTCAGATGCTTGATTGCCATACGACTCAGGGTTACCATACTGAACACTGAAAATATAACATCCCATCATCACTAAAAGTGCCATTGGCTAGTGCTATCCTACACAGTTGTGCATTCACACCCTCTGCGGCTGTTCCTCCTCTGAACCAGCCTCACTTCTTCCAGATTCTCCCCAGCTAGATCTCTCCGTCTCTTGCTGTAGCAATTTCTTTCCCCTTCTAATAATACCTACCCATCACTCTACAGGTCTTAACTTTGTCCAGCTTCCTACTCTCCAGATGAGGTTCATTCCTTATTTTAGGAAAAAGCTGTGTCACACATCTTCCTTTCTCTTTCCTGCCTCCATGATCAGTCTCTGCATGAGGGAGAAAAGAAAAGTCCATATAGGCTTCAAAACTTCTAGTATACTAGGATGATGGCAGGTAATAAGGGAATCTACCAGAGGATGCTGGGTGTGCAGGAGGCACCTTGACAAAAGCCGTCAAAAGTTCCACAAAATAACAGGCCTGGTCTTCGACCATGGGCTCCAAAGCCCCAAAAGGAAATTCTAATCATCAGTGTACAAAACAAGGCAACATAAGTCTTGAGGTATAACTTTCCTGCTTGTTGACATCTGATGCAATGAAGGTTAATATCTAAGTACTGTCGGTTAGGATCACATAACAAAATACTGGTGACTGGGTGGCTATGAAACTGAATTTCTTCTTCATAGATCTGGAGATCAGTTCCAAGATCCGAAAGGCCAGGCAGGGGGCATGTTGGGCTCTTCTGAGGCCTCTCTCCTTGGCTTGTGCATGGCCATCTTCTCTCTGTGTCTTCAGACAGTCTTCCCTCTTTACATATCTCGTGTCCCACCTCCTTTCTTCTCTCTCTATGATACCCAGTCATGCTGGATTAGGAGGCAGTCCAACCCATCCAGTACCCACACTAATGACCTTTCAACCTCGACTACTCCCTTAAAGACCCTATCTCCAAACTCACCTACATTCTGAGGCAATTGGGGTTGACTTCAACATATGAGCTTGGGGAGGAAGATAATTCAGCCCAGTACTATCCCAAATGCTACCTATCTAGACAGGTATATATATATACTGGCACGTATATAGGCTTCATGTGTGTATATTGTGTATAGAAGGGATGGAAATGCCTATGGTCCGTGGGAGGCAGTGCTGGCTGTGTGCATGCCCACACTCTGTGGCAAGTATTCATTCAGAGGGGATGATAAAGACAGGCTGGAGGGAACAAGGATTCTACACTTCATAAGCCAGAAACAGATAATTCTGAGGAGATTCTAGGGCAGCCTGGCCAGCTACTCTGGGAACTGTGGCCATTCTGCCTCCCTTCTGTCTCTCCGCGATTAGAATCTAGACAGCCATGCCTTCTGCACAATAACTAAAAAAAAAAAAATCCTGGAGCCAATAGGCACATCCTTCTCTCCCTACACCACAGCCTCTGAACATAGCAGCCTCTCTGTGAGTTCCGTCTTGTGGAAGCTTCCTCAGGGGATAGTGCATCAGCTTCTTGAGCCCTGGCCTAAGGAATGAGGACAGCAGCATTCCTGGAGCTGATAAGAACATGCCACCATACTACTGCAACTTTGTCCAGTGGGGAGAGCAATGCACTCATCCTCTCCCTGTAATTTATCAGTCCAGATACCAGGTGGAGAATGAAACTACAAAGGAGATACATTCTGAAGGAAAGCCAGGCCCCTGCCTGCAGCCACTGGAACTCCTGGAAGGAATGACATGAGATTGGGTAGTCTGGGCCAGGAGGACAGGGTAAGCTCCAACCTTGACTCCAAGTGCACCAGCAGCCACCTGCCTGAGCCACATTTCTGCCTCCTCACTCCAGAGCCTCCCGGAGAGGCTGCACAGAGACATGCAAGCAGCCCACTGGCGAACATCTGCCTCTCCCTACCTCTAAGGTGGTACCAAAAATACTAAAATACAGATTTAAGGAAACTGCATCAGGCAAATTCAGGTTTGGGTGGCTATAAGGCCACCACATTACAAAAGGGCTGGTTGATGGTGTTGGGTTCTACCTCTTCTTTTCTTAGCAAACATTGGGCGATCCTACCCCAATGCAGTCTGCTGCTAACCCTCCTGAGGGCTTTGGCTGTGCTATTTCATCTCAGTCAGCCTCCCACCTCTGTAGAGGATACATCTGCATTTTTCTTTCTTTTTTTTTTTTTTCTTTTTTCGAGACTCAGTGTCTCGCTCTGTCACCCAAGCTGGAGTGCAAAGGCACGATCTTGGCTCCCCTGCACCTCCACCTCCTGCCTGGTTCAAGCAATTCCCACCTCAGCCTCCTATAGCTGGGATTACAGGCACTCTGCCATTATGCCTGGCTAATTTTTGTATTTTTGTAGAGATGGGTTTCACTCATGTTGACTAGGGCTAATTTTGAACTCTGACCTCAGGTGATCCAAACTGCCTTGGCCTCCCAAAGTGCTGAGATTACAGGCATGAGCCATCACTTCGTGGGCTTAAAGTGATTTCTAAAGTACACTCAGGCTTGCATACACTCTACAATCCCCATTTCTCTTTCCAAACTGAGGACTGAACCTTCAGAGGGGCAGATACACTGTCTCACCATTGCAGAGCATGAGTTTGAGCAGGGTCACCTCATGTGCAAGGGTCCTAAGCTTAAGAAAATAATACAAATGACAAATACAAAAATTAATGTAAGATAATCTAGAATGAAAAAGAGGTTCCACAATTTGCACATTTAAAAAAAACTGATGAATCTACAAATTTTGACAAAATCCAGAAACTAATAATCGCTTTTATTAACTGGCCTGACACATTTCCGTAAATCATCTTACATTTTGAGTGCATCTTCTTGATTGCCTCTTCATCTTCATATATGGCAACAGTTTTGTGATATCAGCCAGCCTATACAGAGAATAGGATAAAAACTGCTGTGATTAGTAATAGTTATTTCTCTGTTTTTTTAAAGATGTCTTGTTTCTCCTCCACTTCCCACATGCTCTCTGTGCTGCCACATTCAGCCTTGCAGTCCAGTGTCTGGCTTGTGCCAGAGGCGCTTTGAATCCAGAGCAACTCCATCTTGAATAGGGCTGGGTAAAATGAGGCTGAGACTCCACTGACTGCATTCCCAGGAGGATAGGCATCCCATAAATAGGATGAGATAGAGGCTGGATAGAAGATACAGGCCAGCAAAGACTTTGCTGATAAAATAGCTTGCAGTAAAGTAGCCAGCCGAAACCTACTCAAAACTAAGATGGTGAGGAGAAGGACTCAGTCATCCTCACTGCTTCATTATACACTAATTATAATTCATTAGGCAATTAGAAAGATAATTCTCCAGTGCCCTGACAGTTTATAAATGCGATGACAATATCAAGAAGTACTCTATATGGTCTGGGGTATGGGATATAAACCTTAGTTACAGGAATTGGTCTAAATTTCTTCTCCCCCAGTGCGAATACGAATAATCCACTCTGCTTTAGTGAGCACCAAGAAATAACGATACGTATCTCCAGGCCCAGCAGCCAAACTACTGGGCTCTTCCTATGGAGTAGTTTATTCTTTTATTCCCTTTAATTTCCTAATAAACTTGTTTCATTTTACTGCATGGATCACTTCACCCTTCCTCAGTGAGATCCAAGAATACTCCTCTGGGGTCTGACTGGGACTCCTCTGGGAACAGCTCTGTACACCACACACAGGCATATGGCACAGGGGGCAGCAGGATGTCTGAACCATCCTGCAGCTTATTGTGTTTTAACAACAACTTACAACTTGTAATGGGACTCAAAACATGCCAATATATCCTACCAACTCAAACTGGAAGATATCCCCAACTCAGATTCCCTCTTAGCCTATCCGCATAAATGCCCAGCCCCATCCAACACTGGAGGAAATTTGATGGTGCTAAGGCAGAGTGGAAAGAAACAGCCGCTTTAACTGAGTAAGGAAATAAACTACTAAGTTTGCAAATTTTCTAGTTTTGCAAATTTTTTTAATTGTTTATTTATTGATTATGATTTTCAGAGACAAGTTCTTGATATGCTGCCCAGGCTGGTCTTTAACTCCCAGGATCCAGCGATCCTCCTGCCTCAGACTCTCCAAAAAGTATCAATGGGGATTATAATCATGAGTCACTGCACCAGGCCTAGTTTTACAACAAAAAAAATTTTTTTTTTTTTGAGGTGGTTCTCACTCTGTTGCCTAGACTGGAGTGCACTATGCACCCGGCTCTCTGGCCTCTCCACTCCCCAGGTTCCAGCGATTCTCCTGCCTCAGCCTCCCAAGTAGCTGACTTAAGGTCACCACCACACCTGGCTAATTTTTTATATCTTTAGTAGAGACGGGTTTTCAACATGTTGGCCAGGGCTTGTCTCAAACTCCTGACCTCAGGCAGATCCACCCACCTCAGCCTCCTAAAGTGCTGTGATTAAAGGTGTGAGCCACCGTGCCCAGCCAAATTTTTAAAAGTGACATGACCTGCCACATGGTGGCTCACCCGTAATCCCAAAACCTGGGGGCCAAGGCAGGCGGATTGCTTGAGCCCAGGAGTTCGCAGATCAGCCTGAGCATCCATCTCTACAAGAAAATGAGCTGAAATAACAAATAACAAAACATATATGACCATGTGTGAATACATTAAGTAGGATCCACTTAGTACCTGGGGAAGGGACTATGCAAAATGGGGTCCCAGGCTTGAGTCTCATTAGCTTCTATATAAACATTTCTCTGAGCTTTAGAGCGACAACATGGGTTTGAGTCTCCAAGCTACACGAATATGACGGATACTGAGGAAAGCAAAATTAGTTTTTTCAAGTATCTATTTCTGCAATTGTGGAATTAGAAATGATGAGTAGCTCTGTATTTCATCAGTTTATAAGTGATTGAGAAAATGTATATAAAGGTTTAGCAAATGTGCCCACGTACAAATTCCTACTAAATCATAGCTTACCGTGATTAGCACTACTGGCCTCCAAGACCACTCCTGGATAGACCCGTACCTCCTTCTACTATGAGGCTATTGAGATGCAGATCATGGGAGCCAGATCCTTTGGGTGCTGAAATGGGGTGGTGGGGAGAGGGTGGAACTCCTGAGCATTGCCTAACTCAGCAAGACTTTGCAGGACTGAATTATTCCTAGTCTGTTATCACAGGCATGCATAGCAGGTACCTGGGCCTGTGGTGACCCTGGCAGCAACTCCAAGTGACTTACCCACATCCTAAATCTCATGTGATTCTTCCTACAAAAGCAGCCTGCACAGGTCTTCCCCAGTGCAATAGGATGTCCAGCCCCATGGGAGGCCTCTGGGCAAATTCAGGAAAGAGGAGGAAGGAGAGAAGGAAGGGGGAAGTGGTCATGCACATGCTTGGGACCTTTACTAACTCCTACAGGCCAGGAGTACACAGCGCAGAGCCTGCAGACCTGGTGCAACTCATCAGGGCTGCCTTCCCCTGCTACCCAAGGCTTTGCCATTCATCCTGCTAGATCAGAGACGCTGGCAGACAGAATGCTCATTCAAGGCTCCAGCCCTTTTCTAGTGGAGCCTCGCAACTACACCCGGAGAAGGAGTCCTGCCTCCTTTAGGACTATAAAGAGCAACTGTTCACAGCAGGCGAAGCTTACAAACAGTGGTGGAGAAAATAACAACGATGAGGATGAATGCAAGCCCATGTGGGCTTTTAACTCAGATACAGGAAGGCAACATAGGGCTTGGGTTGAGGTGATATGGGTGTGTGGAGCCCAGCACTGCGCCAGGGGCATACTCTGGATGTGGTAAAGGCGGAGGTGCACTGCCAGGAGTTGGGAGCCTGGGCCCTAGACTTACAGACCTGAGCTTACACCTGAGTTCTCCACTTGTAAGCTGTGTGGCCCAGGATGAGTTCATTAACCTCTGGGTCCCACCTCATCTGTAAAACAAGGATATCATCAGATATCTTCTTTGAAAGGATTGAATAATATAATCCAAGTTCTTAAACACACACTAATCTTTATTGCATATATTTCTAATGTGTACAATATGGTGTGTTGTATATATAGAACATATTCTCTCTCTCTCTTTTAAGGAGTGATGGGGATCTTGCTGTTCTCAAGCTGGTCTCAAATTCTGACCCCAAGCAATCCTCCTGCCTCATCCTCAAAAATGGTGGATTTATAGAAGTGGAGCCACCACACCTGCCTAAGTACCCTCTTAATGATGTATTTTGACACACAGAAGTTCCGAATTGTAATGTAGTCTAAGCTATCAACCTCCATTAGGTCAGTGCTGATTTGTCTACTTCAGGCTGTAAGATATTCCTACCTAGCAGCTTTATTGTTTTCATTCTCACATTTAGATCTACATCTAGCTGAATTTACTTTGTGTATCTTTAGTAGCCACTAGAAGACTGCATGCAACAAAGGCAAGCCTCAGAGTTATAAAAGATAATTGAGCAATTGGAATTACTAAGAAAGGCATTTTATTCAGACAAGATGAAGGAAGATGATTCTACAAATCAATACAAAAAGATATATAACTAAATAGAAAAGAGCGAGACTTAAACATAAATCTCACCAAAAAATCAGAAGATTATGGCCATTTAATATATGGGAAGGTGCCTATTTCATTAGTCATGAGGGAAATGAGACCCAAACCTTGCATAATGCCGCCAGCAACCCCTAAACGGCCAAAACGAAAAGACTGATAATACCATGTGCTGGGCAAGGAGCGCCACCAAGGAACTCCCACTGCTGAGGAGGGGGGCAAATTGGTCTGACTAATGCTGGAAAGCATGTTTAGGAAATACCTGCTAAAGCTGCACTTTAGTATACACTAATAGAAAGGCTCTGTATGTACCAAGAGATATGTACAATAAGGTTTAGAAAGCTTAGTGCCAAATATATACATCATAGAAAATGTTGCCTTCTAGGTGGCTTGTCGAGCCCAGTAGTTCAAGACTATGAGTGCGCTGATGGGTGAAACCTACCTTACAAAAACTATGAAAATTAATGAGGCATAGTGTGGCATGATTCCTCTCAGTCCCAGCCACTCAGGAGGCTGAGGTGGAGGGATAGATTGAGCCCTGGAAATTGAGGGGTTATAAATGAGCCGTGATCACATCACCGCACTCTAGCCTGGGCAACAAAGCAAGACTGTCTCAACAACACAGCAACAATAAACGCCTGCCTTCATCAGGGTTACCCCAGATCTACCCATTATCATCCAGCCCTGCCTCTGCCCATCTTCTTCTGGCATTCACATCCGCCTGAATTATATATCTCTCTTACTTCTCCCTGCTTCCATTTTATGATTCCTTCTAAAGTGCATTTTCCATCTCAGCTTCCTGTGGGGCCCTTATGGATTTAAGTACTAAGATTACTTTAAATAAATTCTAGAGAAAGCATTATTTTGATTTGTTATAAAAGAAATACATAACTCTGGGGAGACAGACATTCTCTTTTCAGACTTCTTATAACATAATGTATATTATTGATTGAGCTCCATCTATGAGACTTAGTGCTTTACAGACATTATTTGTATTAATTTATTTAAAAATAATTTTAGGCTGGGTGCGTGGTCACGCCTGTAATCCTAGCATTTTTTGAGGCTGAGATGGGCGATCATAAGGTCAGGAATTCTGAGGTCAGCCTGACTTACAATATAGAAAACCCCTCTCAGCTAAAAGTACAAAAACGGCCAGGCGTGGTGGTGCATGGCCTGTAATCCCACCTCCATTTGGGAGGCTGAGGTAGGAGAATCATTGAACCTGGGAGGAGGGGGTTGCTGTGAGCTGAGATTATGCCGGTACCTAGCCTGGGCAACAAGAGTGAAATCTCATCTCAAAATAAATAAATAAAATAAATAATTTTTAAAAAATTATTTTAAGTGACATTTGTATTTTAAATAATTCCACTCAAAATGAAATTCATTTGTGATTCATTTGTTTCTTAAGTAACTCAGAATAAACTATTTTGTTATAGTTATTTCATAGCCATGTGGGTATATTATTAGCCTCATTGCATAGATGAGGAAACTTAGACTCAGGAAGTAAATGACTTGTCCTAAAATGCACAGCTAGTCAGTGATACAGGCATAACTCAACCCTAGTTGTTCAATCTTATTCTAATTTATTGCCAATCTGAAACTATTGTCACTACTCTATACATTCAAGACTAACCCAGCGAATGTTACATCCTTGATATTATCTCTTTGCCTTTATGCAACAGGGAAAGGTAAATTAAAAGCAGAGAAGGAGAGCGCCAGCATCTCCACATTCAGAATGAATCTATGAAGGGTAAGGAAGCTTACGCAGCCAGCCCTCAACCAGGCACCAACAAACAAATGACTTAGAAAATAGGTTTAGTCCCTGCCTCACAGAGAGCTTCCACCTAGAAGACTCCAAACAGGCAAATAAGCATTCATTTAGACACTTATTCAATAATATTATTGATCAGTCACTACGCCTGGTACTGTGCTGGGAGACAGGCAAGGTGGAAAAGATAAGACTGAGATTCTCTCTGCTTCAGCTTACAGCTCCAGCTGGGAGACAGAGCAAGTAAGAAGGCGACATGATATGTATGGCATATGGCAGAAGTTCTGACATTATCAGGGCTCCTGTAAGCAGGGCCTCCCACAGGAGGGTTAGGGAAGGCCTCTGGAGGAGGAACATCACCTTTCTGCTCATACTCTTGGGAGTGGAGGGCCAAGAGACTGCTGAGCTGTCTTGACTTGCACAGGCTGTCAGAGTGATTTCTAAAGTACTTCTTTCATCTGTTGACAACCCAATGGGTAATAGCTAACAATTATAGAGCATTTATTATAAGCCAGGCACTCACTCTAGTGCTTCTACTTCAAACATTCTCATTCTATCCTCCCAGGAACCCTAGCTGGGAGCATTTCTGTTTACAGAAGAACCTGGCCACAGTGAGAGTAAGTCACCCACCCGACATCACATACAGCTAGTTTAAGGGAAGAGCCTAGTTTCTGGCACCCAGGCAGAAGGCTCCATATCTGCAATTCTCCATCACTCCTGCTTAGAACTGCCTCTCTGTGTAGAAAGCCCCAAAATACCAAATGCATGAACCTACCTCAGAGCCATAGTTGCCTGAGGTCATTTTGTTCACACAAGCATAGGTAAGGTTAGCCAGACTCTGTGCCAGGCATTTAATAAACTATCTCCTCAGATGTGCAGCATTTGCAGATTTCCTGGTGAATTATCTACCATGGTTAATTTCTGTCACTATGTGATGTCTCTGAATGGGAGTTGGGAGAAGGTAACTCTATCATTCTATAGGCTTCACCATATAGATAAGGGCAGGGGTATAAATAACCTTACACGTGTATAATGGTATATGTAGGAAAATAATCAGGAAGTGATACATTCTGAGGATTTGTTACCTTTGTTTTTAATATAATTTATTTAATTTTAAGTTTATATAATTTAGCTTTTGATAATGGCTATGTTTTAATAATGGCTTGCAAAAGTTCCTGAAAATTTAGCAGTCAGTTCCTGTGAGCCAGTACAACACACTCCATACTTACCAGATATCTTCCAAGTTCTCTGCTTGATTCTAAGCTCCCACTACCCGCTCAGTTTCCTTTGGCAAATCTAGGTGGCCCTATGTGTTACCTCTCCCAGGGAGACATGGAGAAGGCAGAGGTGTTAGCAAGTACTTCTAGCACTCCGCTATGTAATGAAACATTGTGGCTGTACTTATGTTATTTCATTTTATACTCACTTTAATCTCATAGGAGAGATTACATGTACCTATTTGTCTGTGTTCTTTTTTAAGTGGCTTATTCCTGTAGGGGCTTGACTATGCCTTACACAGCAGACACAAAATTCATGCTTGTTGAATTAATAAATGAACGAAAAACCTGAGGATGAAACCGACTCCTCAACCTGCACAAGGCCCGTCAGATTCAGCTCCTGCCTCACGCCCCAAGCCTCCCTTCCCACCTTGCCCAAGGAATCCATCTCACCTGCACGCGGTTTGCTAGCTAGACACTGCCAAGACTACTTGGCTTGTGCTGTCCCCACTACCTAGAAGGCTCCTTCCACCATGCATCTTCTTAGATCAGATTTCAGAAACAGACTAAAGAGATTGTATGCAGGAAGTGTGTGATGAGCTCTTGGTAAGAACCCCCAGAGGCTGAGAGGGGGAAACAAAAGGGAAAACAAAAATAAAAAACAAGCTGGCGCGGCCCCAAGCCTGTAATCCCAGCACTTTGGGAGGCCGAGATGGCGGATCACGAGGTCAGGAGATCGAGACCATCCTGGCCAACCACGGTGAAACCCCTGGTCCTCTACTTAAAAAATACAAAAATTAGCCGGGCGCAGGTGGCGGGCGCCTGTAGTCCCAGCTACTCGGGAGGCTGAGGCAGGAGGAATGGCGTGAACCCGGGAGGCGGAGAGTGAGCTGAGATCCGGTCACTGCACTCCAGCCTGGGCGATAAGAGACTCTGCCTCAAAAAAACAAAAAACAAAACAAAATAAAACAAAATAAAATAAATAAAATAAAAAAAAAACAAATTCAGAAGGTGAGGGGAAAAGGGAGGGTATGAGAAAGTTTGAGCCGTGATGAAAGGCAGAGGCCTCAGCTGCAAAATTGATGGGAGGCTCAGAATATGGGATGGATTTCCAGAACTGTGCCATATTGAAGCAAGTGGGCAGGACTTTCACTCCTAAATTTGTACCTCATCATTGAATGAGGGCCATCTGTGGATGGGGGGATCACTTTGGG